AATGTTATAGCCTATTGTTGCCTTAGGCAGTATATATCTATAAAATGTAGGATTCCTGATTACATGATGCAACATCGGTAAAGCACATGTGACTTAAACAATGGATATCATTATCAATGGATGATAGATATCATGATAAATGGATGAAAGATATGATAAAAGGATGATAGATATCATGATAAATGATTGATATGATAAATGGATGAAAGATATGATAAAAGGATGATAGATATCATGATAAATGATTGATATGATAAATGGATGAAAGATATAATAAATGGATAATAGATATCATGATAAATGATTGATATGATAAATGGATGAAAGATATAATAAATGTATGATAGATATCATGATAAATGATTGATGTGATAAATGGATGAAAGATATGATAAAAGGATGATAGATATCATGATAAATGATTGATATGATAAATGGATGAAAGATATGATAAAAGGATGATAGATATCATGATAAATGATTGATATGATAAATGGATGAAAGATATAATAAATGGATAATAGATATCATGATAAATGATTGATATGATAAATGGATGAAAGATATAATAAATGTATGATAGATATCATGATAAATGATTGATATGATAAATGGATGAAAGATATGATAAAAGGATGATAGATATCATGATAAATGATTGATATGATAAATGGATGATAGATGTCATGATAAATGATTGATATGATAAATGGATGAAAGATATGATAAATGGATGATAGATGTCATGATAAATGATTGATATGATAAATGGATGAAAGATATAATAAATGGATGATAGATATCATGATAAATGATTGATGTGATAAATAGATATCATCTTCAGTTTCACCACTAAAAAAACCTTGACATCACAGTGAGATTTTGTCACGGAGCTTCGTCTGTTGTCCGTCTGTTGATCCATCTGTTAGCATTGAACTTAAACCCATCTTTTCCAAAACTCCTTAACATGCTCTAGATGTCCCTGGTGACACCAAAGTCAAAGAACAAAGACATTTGCACTTTGCTTTGCAATGATGCATAGATAGGATCTGCTTTGCAATAATGCATAGGTTGGATCTGCTTTGCAATGATGCATAGATAGGATCTGCTTTGCAATGATGCATAGATTAGATCTGCTTTGCAATGATGCATAGATTGGATCTGCTTTGCAATGATGCATAGATTGGATCTGCTTTGCAATGATGCATAGATAGGATCTGCTTTGCAATGATGCATAGATTGGATCTGCTTTGAAATGATAGGATCTGCTTAGCAAGCTGAAGCCACATAGTGATTGTAAAAAGTTAATTTGTCACCAATAATTATCCACAACAGTTCCGGGTAATATTTGTATATTGGCTCTATCAGAATAGGGGCACATGATGATAATAACTATGCAGCTCTATTGCATGGTAGAATGAAAGGCCATGCAGGTACGTAAGCCACTGAAGTATGGACTCCTTTATCAGGTTTCTGTTCATGCATTCAGTGGTTGTAACCTGGAAAGAGGCTGCCTCAATGTAATTCAAATTAATCATATTTTGCTCAAGCTTTCATGTCTATGATTTAAAATGCCCATGTACAATGTATGTATTATGATGCTGGAAGGCAGGCTGCTTGATCTGGCATGTCATCTGTTAAAGAAGTAAATTGTCAAGCGATTTATCATGCAAGTCTTGTACCGTATTCAAACCTGTAAGAGTTTTAAGTCCATTAGTTTTAGTTTTGTTATCTGAAGTCTAACTTAGTTCGTGAACTAGTTTGATTTTTATTGTAATGTCCTCCCGTGGGGATTTTGGTTTAAGAGGCGACCAAATGAATTTGGTGGTCAGGCTGTGGCTGTGACTTGATGGCGTGTCATCATACCTCGACGACATGGATCCTTGCTCACAATTTCGATCACTGGATTCTTTGGTCCAGACTTCATTATTTAAAGGTGGCCATCATAGAGCTGGAATAATACTGAGTGCAGCATTAAACAACAAACAAATTTATCATGGTGTCCACATGGTATAAGTATTAGTATAAGCATGGTGTTGCAAATACATGATACAGTACTGGAATAAAACAGCAATGTAGGAGTTGCCATGACCTTGGTTTGGCATGACCCATGAGGTAATGAGAAGCCCGCAATGATGACCCAAAGCCGGACTCGTAGTGCTGATAAACCTTTTCCAAGGGACACCAAATATATAATTTTACATGAACTGTACCCATTAATATAGTCAGTGGTGTGATAAGTCCTGTTATCTTAATAGTTATACTAAGTTTATTATAATGTTCATTACTCTTATTCCATCTCATATCTAAAAGATTTGAAGTTTGACTTTTCACTGCTGTGTTGTAGGGCTGGATTCTCGTATCAGGACCCTTACAATATAGTAATGACCTCCCAAAGGGTAAAACCAAGAAAAGCCAAGGACCCCCTTAAATCTTTAATACATAATTGTATCACATTGTTGCAGAGGATGGTAGCTTATTAGATTAAGTGCGGTATGTGATTTGAGTAATGGATATTTATGTACATGTACATTATCTTGCTATGTCAGGTGTGTCGTAGTCCTGCACCATGACAGTGGAATATATTCATTTTATGAGAAAAAAACCCTGAAAAAGGTATACAAGAGCAAGTCTAGCCAGCTCATTGTCACATAGACATTAAGTCCAATGACAGAATGTGGGTCTCGTTTGACATGACACAAGGAAGTCATTGCCAATTTATGGTTGTCGTTAAACCAGCCATATTAATTGCTTAGGTTCTTGTTAAAAATTAGAGGTGGGAAATGAGTTTGATATGTCCCTGTAAGATTCTTGTGAAACTTTTACAATGGGATTCAGTGGAGAGACTATTATCAATGTTGCCTTCCCAGTACCCCATGCGTGTATACCCTTGGTGATTCCAGGACAGACAAGGTTGCTGGTACCCTGTGCTTGTCTCCCTGTGGGATTCCAGGACAGACAAGGTTGCTGGTACCCTGTGCTTGTCTCCCTGTGGGATTCCAGGACAGACAAGGTTGCTGGTACCCTGTGCTTGTCTCCCTGTGGGATTCCAGGACAGACAAGGTTGCTGGTACCCTGTGCTTGTCTCCCTGTGGGATTCCAGGACAGACAAGGTCGCTGGTATCCAATGCTTGTCTCCCTGTGGGATTCCAGGACAGACAAGGTTGCTGGTACCCTGTGCTTGTCTCCCTGTGGGATTCCAGGACAGACAAGGTTGCTGGTACCCTGTGCTTGTCTCCCTGTGGGATTCCAGGACAGACAAGGTCGCTGGTATCCAATGCTTGTCTCCCTGTGGGATTCCAGGACAGACAAGGTTGCTGGTACCCTGTGCTTGTCTCCCTGTGGGATTCCAGGACAGACAAGGTTGCTGGTACCCTGTGCTTGTCTCCCTGTGGGATTCCAGGACAGACAAGGTTGCTGGTACCCTGTGCTTGTCTCCCTGTGGGATTCCAGGACAGACAAGGTCGCTGGTATCCCATCTTGTCTCCCTATGGGATTCCAGGACAGACAAGGTTGCTGGTACCCTGTGCTTGTCTCCCTGTGTGATTAAAGGACAGACAAGGTTGCTGGTACCCTGTGCTTGTCTCCCTGTGGGATTCCAGGACAGACAAGGTTGCTGGTACCCTGTGCTTGTCTCCCTGTGGGATTCCAGGACAGACAAGGTCGCTGGTATCCCATCTTGTCTCCCTGTGGGATTCCAGGACAGACAAGGTCGCTGGTATCCCATCTTGTCTCCCTGTGGGATTCCAGGACAGACAAGGTCGCTGGTATCCCATCTTGTCTCCCTGTGGGATTCCAGGACAGACAAGGTTGCTGGTATCCAATGCTTGTCTCCCTGTGGGATTCCAGGACAGACAAGGTTGCTGGTACCCTGTGCTTGTCTCCCTGTGGGATTCCAGGACAGACAAGGTTGCTGGTATCCCATGCTTGTCTCCCTGTGGGATTCCAGGACAGACAAGGTCTCTGGTATCCCATGCTTATGGAGCTTCCAGGGGCTGTGCCACTTAAGTCATTACTCCCAGATTATGCTGACATGGCTACCAACTACAATATTGGTTGAAGAGACTTTGATCCCCTACTCACTCACTCACTCATATATGAAGGAACATTCCCTGCCATAATATTCAGAGTGGGACCCATTAAATTCTAATTCAAACCCCCAGCATGTGGAGGCACAAGTCAGGTTTCATGTACATGGCCATTAGGATTCACCCCTCTGGGTAAGGGCAGATCTTTTTGTGTGGCAACACTGCAGCATAACAACTGATATTCATCGGAGTCGCAGGTGTGCATGGGAAATGTTGGTCTTTCTAAAGTTAGGCAAGCTGGTTGGGACTTATGCTGGATAACTGAATAGGGACTGTGGGCAGGATATTGGCTCGTAATGACCTAGTTGGATACAAGCTCTTATATCACTATATGTTTCACTTGAGTTGATTGGCAATTTAGATGCAGTGTGTTTCTTCGGCCAATATGTAGTCTCTCATACACACCCTGCTACCAAAATGTCCCACCTGCTGAAAATATCTCTGTCAAAAGATGAATAATATATCATAGTTTCCAAGTACCATTGTGGATTCCACAGATCATGATACAGATATTAAATTACTGTTTTTTAAATGGATACCCACACTTTCAATTTAGAAGAGTATCTGTGACTATGGTAATCAGGGCGAGGGGATGAAATAGTAATGCATGGTAATGCAGCACAAGCGATGAATGTAGTCTGTGAGTAGGCTTGGCCTAGTTTTGTTTGGATATGGAGGCACAAAAACAAATTAAAGGTTTTGGTAAGCAATTAAAATGCTGGGGAGGTATATATCTATTACAACATACATATGCTGGCAGACAAATGGGTGGGTGCCAAACTAACGAAGAAGAGTTAATCCTGTTTTGTTGTACATACATACCATATTGCTTAAATGCTTTAATGATTCATGCTGAAAATAGCAGTATTTGGGGGTGTTACAAATGTAACATCATTGTTTCTTTATGTTCAGAACCAGAGCAAGACCCCCCATCCTACACTGATGTCCATGATGAAGAGCCTGTCCTGGAAGCCGTTACAAGCACACAGGTTAGTCAAGTTCAGACGTCGATCACTACAAGTACAAGCAGCACCAGCGAGTTCCCTCCCCGGCTCTGCCATATCAAGAAACGGGCCGATTTCAACGGATACGGTTTTAATCTTCATGCGGAAAGAGACAAACCAGGACAGTATATCGGTAAAATCGACGAAGACTCTCCAGCTGAAAGAGCAGATCTTCGCGAGGGCGATAGGATAGTGGCTGTGAATGGAACAAACATTGAGAGCGAAACTCACCAGCGGGTGATTGAGCTGGTGAAGAGCGGAGGTGACGAGACGACGCTGCTGGTGTTGGACAAAGACGCCGATGAGTACTACAAGGGCAGGGGGATTACTGTCTCCACGGATTTGGATGAAGTGAGGAGGATCTCCAGCGTTACAGGTAATATAGACCTTCTCTGGAATCGGTTTGATTTGTTACCCAGGCCATATTTGTGCATGTTTAATTTTTTCACTGAAAGTACATAATATCCAAGACCAACAGCAGCAATTGCTGTGTTAAGTACAATGCTCCCCTGGCCCAACATCAGCAATAGCTGTGATACAGACAATACTCCCTGACCAATCATCGGCAATAGCTGTGTTACCTACAATACTCCCTGTCCCATCATCGGCAATAGCTGTGATATGTACAATACTCCCCTGACTTAACCTCGGCAATTGCTGTGATACGTACAATACTTTCTGACCAATCATCGGCAATAGCTGTGATACCTACAATACTCCCTGTCCCATCATCGGCAATAGCTGTGATATGTACAATAATCCCCTGACTTAACTTCGGCAATTGCTGTGATACGTACAATACTCCCCTAATGACAGCAATGGCTGTGATACGTACAATACTCCCCTGACCCAACCTCGGCAATTGCTGTGATACGTACAATACTCCCCTAATGACAGCAATGGCTGTGATACGTACAATACTCCTTGACCCAACCTTGGCAATTGCTGTGATAGGTACAATACTCCCCTAATGACAGCAATGGCTGTGATATGTATAATACTCCTTGACCCACACCGGCAATTGCTGTGATACGTACAATACTCCTTGACTCACACCGGCAATACCTGTGATACGTATAATACTCCTTGACCCACATCGGCAATTGCTGTGATATGTACAATACTCCTTGACCCACACCGGCAATTGCTGTGATACGTACAACGTTCTTGAACCTGATGACTGATTTTGTAACAGATTATTGTGTTTTGTAGAAATAAGGAAATTTAGGGAAGAACTTCCATGGGGTCATGACAAGGTTGTGATGTAGAAGGTGATTAAGTTAGAGGAAGGTGACAGTGCAGGAAGAGATTTTCTAGTGGCTTAAAGTATCCATGTTGTAATGAATGCTACATTCCTAAACGCATGCTCAAGCATATGCACAAAATGATACTAGGTGCATCCAGGTGTATTTGTATATCCTGTTAACAAGTTCTATGTTGCAATGCACCAGTGACTAGTTTATACTCAACACATAGGGTTTCCTTTGATACTGAAACTGGCAATCCCCTTTTGCGAAATTATGGACCATTACAATGAAACGTTCAGCTCTGTGTGCATTGTGACAGAGGCTCCACACTCCATGCTGCAATATAGACCAACCAGCTAGCATTGCTATGTGGGACGTGCCCTGAAAAGACTGTGTTCTTGTTACTCTTTCCAGGGGCTGTCATCCATTACACTTCTGACTTGAGTGCCACAGTGGGGAATGCCACCCTGCATATTTCAGGCTGTGATCTGATTTAGCCATGCTCTGATTCAGATCTGGTAAACCGATCATGTGTTTAGCCCTGTCACACTGTCATTAGCTGTGCTTGTTTTGATAGAAAATTCAATATCGACATACCTGTGGGAACTGCTCTCAGGGGCTATTGTTGTACATATTGAAGCAATTGTTACTGGCGGGTCGGGAATGATCCTATGTATCACAGCTATTATTACTGTTGGGCTGGGAGATATTTTACGTATCACAGCTATTGTTATTGTAGGGTCAGGTGATATTGTATATATCACAGCAGTGATATCTGTAGGATTAGAGAGTATTGGACGTATCTTGCCAATTGCATCTTTAGGGTCAGGAGATATTGTACATATTGCAGCTATTTCTTCGTATCACAACAATAGCATCTTTGGAGCAAGCGTAGCCTCAGGTTTCTCTTTCTTACTGTTCATAGCTTGATGTATTTGGGCAAGTGCTGCAAAAAATGTATCATTTGCTTACATCAAGCTCGGAGATAATCATGATGATGGCGAGATATTACGTATGGACCAAGATTCTGTGTTCCATAGTATGTATCCAAGATATAACGGTCAGCGCTGACTTGCAGGAGAGGCTGTTTCTGTTGCTGTGGAACCGCCTGTATTCTCCATTCCCCCTCCTCCCACCGAGGACCCTTCAGATGACGAAGAATTTAACGTTGATGATTTCAATGGTAACCTTTGATCCTTCGATCTCAAGCACAGCTGCTGTGTCTAATGCTTCTGCCTCTTGTGTCTCCGCGTGGGGCTACCATTACCGCGGCATTGGTCTGTCACCCAGTGTTTCTTGTCACATTTCACATTGGAAAATTGTACCTCAAATTGTCATTTCACCTAGAAGAAAAATGTCATGTTTGGGGACACTTGCAATATTTGTTAAGTGACCATGACAAAGACTTATTTAGAATCCAGAATTCAATAAGAATGCATGCAACCATTATATCTCAAAATGAGATCCCAGTTCCACAAACATGACAACGGTCCATTAAACTTAGGCCATATTTGAAACATTGTACCTTTTGTAGACGAGGACCACAATAGTTTATACCAAAAGTAAAACCCTTGCGCATTTCAAGAAAATGTTAAAGGAGACTGAAGTCTGTTTGGACACATAGCATTATCATGTAGATTTAAGCTAAATCTAGACCTGGTCCACAAATAGATTGTAGAGATATGACTTTGTAAGTAATATTGAAGTATTATGGCAGTCTGTGACTTTGCCTCTTGTCTGAAGCCTGAGTCTAATAAGTTTCTGATTTGTCTGATGAGCTCGTTTAATAATAGTCCACACATTAACACTGAAATCTGCTCAAAGGAAGGGGAGCCAGGTTCGGGATTGTAGAGTAAACTTGTTTTTGGCACAGACTGTAGTTATTGTAGTTGTAGCACTACAATTGCATCTGTAGAATTGTTTGTGGGATGTTATGAGGGAGACATTTACACTAACGATTTGTCACTGAAAAAATATAGTTTTGATAAAAACAAACAACTGCAATTAAATTGAAAAGGAGCCCCAGTGAGATGGGAGATTGAGATCTGAACCTGGGTAAATCTAGACTTGCTTTATTCAGGACTATAGCATTCAGTATGGGGTGGACAGGAGGGATAACAATGGGGTTGAGGGACTGTGACACTAGGTAGACACTCAGCTCCCTGTGATGTAAGTTCCGTGAGAAACACTGGGTGGCCTGACACAAGGTGCGGAGTGCTTTGCCTCCTCACAGACTCCTAGAGCTGTTCTGTTTCTCGTTGTGTAGATCATTCATGTCCTGTGTCTCGTGTGAGTTGGGTGTTGAACTGACCAGTAACAAACCCATAGTTCCTTTCCAGGTCTGTAGATGCTGTGTCCTAGCATTAGTCGCCACGTATTAATCCCATCTGTTTCAGATAGGACTGCAGAATCCTAAGAATGCTGCATACTAATGTTATATGCTGAACTAAAACATGTAAAAATACACTGAACAAAAATATTGGGGGGATATTTTTGTGAAGTAAAACTTGAGCACAAAATATCCCCTAAAATATTCATGATCTCAAAATATATTTTTTCAGTATATTGAACTATACAAAATGCAGTCAAAATAATAACTTTTTCAGCGAATTAATGTCTTTTATTTAGTTATAAGCTAAACTTTCTCAACAGAGATATTCGTAGTGGCTTGGAGCCAGTGACTGTCATGTCCTAACATGGATGCTTGGGGGCGTGTCTGTCTTCTTCACTTGTTGCTGTGACTTAACAATAGTGTGATAGTGAAACATTTTGATGTGTTGTGGACTCTTGTAGATTGTAGCTTAGAATAGTTTTCCACCTTAACAATGTGTAGATCATTATTCGAAGTAAGTCAGGTCAGTTTGATATTGGTGTAAGTTTACCGAGTTGTCTGAATTGAAAGCAATATTTGAAAAGTTCAGTTTGATAACTTATAACAATTGTAAGATGACCTGAAATGTCAATTTGTAAAGTTTTCAAAACATCTTGATCGTGTTGAGTAGTTAAAATAAAAACAGGTCTCTAAAACAAAATAATAACATGAAGTCAATTAAGTGTTAACAACTAAGCATACAGCATAGCTATGAAATGCATTGCACAAACTCTTCTCATAGACTAGAAATTTGTAGTGTGCTTTTTTTTAGAATTTGCACTCAGATTTTACATGATTTAAGCAATTACAAACACTTATTGACTTAAACATGCAAAATGAAATGAAATTTGTTGATATATCTTTATATTGTTTCTGTCAATATGTGTAAGTAATGGGTAGTCCTTTTGGTAAAAGGGCAAGGGAGTTAGCTTTGTGGTTAAGGTGTTAGCTCATCATGCCAAAACAGGTTTGTTTCCCACATGGGTACAGCGTGTGAAGCCTGTTCCTTGTGTACCTGCCATGATACCACTGACATTAAGAAGCATTGACATAAGCTATTTAGAAGTATTTCAATCAGGCCAAGTGTTCTAGAGGTTCTCAGGTTGGCAGTTGCATTTATTTATTTTATTTGACTTGGGAAACTAATTTACAATCTACCTAATTAAAGTGTCATGTCTTTAGATACATGATTTGTTTAATGCACGACCTACACCTGAACTGATATTGTTGTAGAACGCCTTGTATTTTCATAATGGTAATGCTCTTCAGCAAGCATTCAGTTGCAGGTGTGAACATAATAGAATCATGATGAACTAGTTGGCCACCATTAATTGGAACTAATTGGCCACTTGTATTGGTCGGGGCAGTCGGGTAGCCTAGTGGTTAAAGCGTTCGCTCGCCACTCCGAAGACCCGGGTTCGATTCCTGACATGGGTACAATGTGTGAAGCCCATTTCTGGTGTCCCCCGTCGTGATATTGGAATATTGCTAAAAGCAGCGTAAAACCATACTCACTCACTCACTCACTTGTATTGGTCACTTGTATTGGCCACTTGTATTGGTCACTTGTATTGGCCACTTGTATTGGTCAAGACGCCAGCACAGAGAGGAATGGTCAAGGCCTGTATGATCCTTGCCAATGCACCACTTGCATTCAAATTGTATTCTCAGCTCCCTGAGAAGTATACAACCTTGATGCCGAGCTCTGGAAGGGTTGAGTTAGGCATGTAGGGTGTATTGTGTTGAGTAGTAATATGACAATGTTGTGAGATGACCTGCCACAGGCTCTGATGTCTTGGGCCGGTGAAGTTGGGAGGTTAGACTTGAGAGATTGCCATGGTGGTTGTGATCATTGCTCCGCTGGTGTTTTCAGAGGCAGTGCAGGAACAGGTGGAGGCGACTCAGGCAGCTGAGGTGGAAGCCGAGCTCCCGCCACCCGGTAAATGAGGTTGATGACATCGTCATAAGAGGATGTCAGTGTTGTTGATGGTGCGGGGCATACAGTGTAGGAAGATGAAGCGAATAGCACATACCAATTTGTCATGCATGGCTTTCATGGTTTTGGTGTTAAGTAGGGTATATTTGTCTAATCTTGTCAGACAACATTTTTGTCTGATTCAGTGAACCAGGTGGTTATTTTCATCAATAGCGCCGTTATTGATAGTGCTCAAAAGAAGTTAAGGCACCACCCGATTCTTTCATATTACCATACTTAATGTGTAAGATTTTGAACTGAATGAAACCTGGATAATTTTAGAAAGTTTGTCATGACCTTGACATTCATCTCAAACATAACGAAACTGAAGAAGTTATTGAATGTCATTTGCACAGATTTGATATAGGTCATGTTAAGACATACGTATCTGTCTGTAAATTTGGGTTAGATCTCAGTTCAAACTTCAGACTGTGCCTTTAAATCCGCACAAAAAAGGTTATGTACGTCCCGTCTACTAATTATCTTCATGTGTGCTCATAAATCTGATTGACAATTGGCCATTTCCTCAGAGCCACGGAAGGGAGGAGTTACAATAGCATTTCCTGAGAGTTAATTGTCAATCAAGTGCTAAGAATATCCCATTGTGAATTATGTATTTAAAAAATAGATGTGCTTGTTGTTGGTATGTGTGCTTTAATCTTGTTAACTTGTTAAGCTGATACCAATTTCTCTTCCTACACTGTTTGTAGTTGTGTTTTAACTGTCTCTTCCTACTCAGAGTTTGCTACTAATGAACATCACTTGAACATCACTTGAACATCATACAGGCATCATTTATTCATGGAATGAGCATCATCTTCATTGTCTGATTTGTTTCTGCATCTCCTAACACTGTGCTCTCTTCGACTTGCCAATAACTGAACCTTGTATGGATTTCTTGTCTTTGTTGACTACTTTAACTGGTTAACTGTAGATCAGTTTAAGGGACCAGTCATTTATTATGGGATGTGTAAGTGTATTTCAGAGGTTTTTAATAACTAATAAATGAAGATAATAGCCCTCCCCTAATGCTTGCCTTATATAAGATGACCCTCCCCATGTCCTGGTATATTTTGTCTGACCCTCCCTGAAAAGACAAAATGCAAAGGCACTTTGTTTATAAAAAAAAATGTGTATTACTTTTTTTTACCCTCACCTGAACATGCTGAAGACTGTCATAGTTTTGGTGACCCTCCCCACATTCCCTCTGGCCCACATCCACCTACCCCATAATAATTGACTGGTTCCTAACTCACACTTTTCTCCATCGTTTTGATGAGGATAGTTTCCTAGTTGTCAAGAGTTATCGTTATGATAATTTTGGTAATATATGTTATATTTTGTCATTGATTAGTTTAATTCATTAATTCATTCTTACAAATATAAATGCGATATAATATTGTTTTCAATAATATGAAGAGTAGCGGTAGATTAATAGTTTATGATCATGAATTATGTCATGCTATTTTCCTGGCAGCATGTTCCATATATCTGCCATGCTTTATAGTACTTGTTTGACAACTAACCATCATTACATCTCCATTGACAACTGTGATTTGTGTTAGGTGCCAGTCAAGGCATCAATGGGTGGAAGGCTTAGTAACATCATCAGATAGGCAACACCAACAATGCATGCATCTTCCTTAGATTGGGAATGCCACACTAATATCATACTAAATGAGGTTTGTTCATCACATTACAACTAACATTTACTACTAAGTAAATCACTGACTTTCAGTGAATCAGCTCTTTGTTTTTCAAGGCCATGTGACCCATATTACATACATGTATATCATACAGTTATATCACATTGCACATGCATCATGGCATTTGATAACATTACATCTCCGTTCTAACATTATTTATGTGCATGATGTGTGCAAGAAATCTCTTAAGATATGTTCATTGATAGATGATGAAACTTAAATGATGAAGCTCTAGGATGTTTCCTTGGAAACCAGTTGCTTATATAGGTCACTATCTTATATTTGTGTGTGAAAGTTGGTGCTGCATTGTTTAAGCAAGAATTACACTGTTGGTGCTGCGTTGTTTAGGCAAGAATTGCACCGTTGGTGCTGCTTTGTTTAAGCAAGAATTACACCAATGTCAAGCCAGCTCCTGCTATTTACATATAAATACTGAATGTGTTGGTAAATGAAACTAGGGCTAAGGAAGAATTTTTGTATGAATTAAATATGCAGAGCAGCATTTGAGATATCCTTCTTGATGTGGGGTATAAGTGATAATGCATGTGCCTGTGTTATGAATATTTATGCACCGTGACGATAACATGTTATGTCATACTTTGCTACATGCTTCGTGAATGTACACTTCAACATGTTCAGGGTTCATCCTCTTCTCCATCATCTTCATTCTCATCAATTAATAACTGCTTCAGGTGGACTCCGCTTGTTCATAACAAAACTTAGTGTCTCCCAATTTCTTGGATGCCCCAACTGCTCTTTGTCCTGTAGAAAATGTGAATGGGCGAGGCCCAATATTTACGAGTGAAACCCATGTATATTGTGTGTCGTATACTCGGTGGAACAGGGTATGCTGAAAATAGCACAATTTCATGTTCCTTCTCTATCTGACAAGGAACAAGAAGATAGTAATCTTTAGAGGAGATAAAGTCATATTTTGATAATTAATCATCGAAGATTTTCAAAATGTAAAATAGTAAATATGAATAGATTTGTTATCTTCAATGTTAATGGTAAATTAGTGTTTAAATGTTCAAAATAAAACATTGAATTTTTTTGTAAAATATTTTGGTAAAAAATAAAGTTTTGCTATGATTTCAGTCTGATGTTAGATATGACATTTAATCGGTAGAAGGGTCATAGGGCAATAGATATCCACCATCTGTCGACCTTAGGTCGAGTCCTAGATGAGCACTGCACCTAGTTGTTAGGAGTTGGATAACACTTAGATGTAGAAGGAGGGTTCACAAGTGCTAGCTATCTCCGAGAAGCTTCGATAACTAAACATGTTCAAATAGTACTGATATGTTTCAAATTCAAGTTTATTTCCTCATGAGGACATTATTTGTTGAAACTGAAAGATAATTAAAAATTCATTTATGTATTATTTACATAGCTGTTGTTTCGAAGTCATGTTTACTCAAAAGATGGATGACTATTAAATGTATTTTTTGTAAGAAGGAAAAGATTCAGTTTAATTTGACACAACGTTTTGTATTAATAATGCTGTTGATTGTATTGATCTATCGTAAAGGTAAAGATGAGAAGAAAACGTTTGAAATTTCATGACCATGATTATTTTCTTAGAGGATATCCCTTCCCCACCAGAGGAGTTGGTCACAGCTGATATCGCTGAAAATGACCAGGTGGAAGTTGAACAACAATTCTCAGCTGAAGTGGCTGAGACCGTTGAAGCCGTTGCCGATACTGAAACCTCGGCGGCAGCAACCGAAGAAATTGAACAAACTTCAGAGGAAATTACTGAAACTCCAGCTGAGGTCGTGGAGTCATTGCAAGTCATTGACAGTGAATTAGAGAATGAAGTTGAGGTTGCACAGGCTGCCGAGGTTGAAGTTGAAGCAGCAACCGCCGTACATGCTGAAGTGACCGAGGAAATTACAGAAAACAATGTTACGGAAATAACCGAAAATGGTAAAGTCTGCTTTGGTTTCTACATTTATAAGCTTTGCAGCTTGAAGCATTCACCTGCTCAGCAAAGAACACCTGGTGTAAGGGTCGTTAGTGGACTACAGCCTGTCTAACTTGTGTTGTCCTTCGTGCAGTTTAATATGCATGATTGTACAGATGAGAGAATCTTGTGGAAATCTTACATTGTCTGTCTGTTTACTGTTTAACTAATAATGTGTCAACCATATTGGTAGATTCCAGATAATCGATGTCCCTTCCTTGTGAAGTCTAAATGTGTACCCTACAAAACCCCTTGTTCCTCTTAATACTGGTAAGGTTGATTGGTTGATGGTTTTATGTTGCATGCTCGTGGGGAATTGGAGGGTCGTTGATAAGATGGAGATACAATATGGTTTGTGGTCTAATGATTACTCAACAGTTTTATTGACTGTTGCCAGACATTCTTTCGATTCAGTGTTGATACTTGTACAATGGGAGATGTGATCAATTCATTCACTACAGTGTCTTTTGTAATGGTCCACTTGGTCAAACTTTGGCTTCAAACGATGTGTTGAATGTGCAGCTAGGTAAACCCTCTGGAAGTGGCCAATCGGGCTTGTGAATGGTACCAAGTCATGTACAAAGAATTTATTTTATGGTTCAGTTTGTGTAACACAAGGCTTGTTCCTGGTGAGGCTGTGGGCTTATTGATCTGGAGCAGTGCAATGACAAGCTTCATCCTGCCCATTCTGATCACAGTAGCAATGGTGCTTGTTTGGCACACTGATCACTGAGAACAGGTGCTTGTTTGGCACACTGATCACTGAGAGCAAGTGCTTGTTTGGCACACTGATCACTGAGAGCAGGTGCTTGTTTGGCACACTGATCACTGAGAACAGGTGCTTGTTTGGCACACTGATCACTGAGAGCAGGTGCTTGTTTGGCACACTGATCACTGAGAACAGGTGCTTGTTTGGCACACTGATCACTAAGAGCAGGTGCTTGTTTGGCACACTGATAACTGAGAACAGGTGCTTGTTTGGCACACTGATCACTGAGAGCAGGTGCTTGTTTGGCATACTGATCACTGGGAGCAGGTGCTTGTTTGGCATACTGATCACTGAGAGCAGGTGCTTGTTTGGCATACTGATCACTGAGAACAGGTGCTTGTTTGGCATACTGATCACTAAGAGCAGGTGCTTGTTTGGTACATATATTCCAGAGAGCAGGTGCTTGATATCTTTAAATGCATCTATGTGGGAACAGTATATTTATGCTGATTAGGTATTAAAATGTCATGCTTGTGTCAAAGTACATAGACCTTCATTGATTCTACAGGACTCCAAATTTTTCCAACCATGTCAGATATTTTTTTCATTTTTAAGTATTTTAGGCTATTTTGATATAAATGTATTGGACTTGGTGCCCATTTCCCATTCCCCGAATTCGACGGTGTGGGAGTCCTGTTCTTAGTGTTCCCACATATTGAATAGTGCGGGATGCTGGGTTGAACTGTACTCACTCATTCACTCGACTGCAATGTCAAATGTTTGGTGCTTCAGCTGAATGAGTGGAGCGAATGGAAGAGTATGGTCAATGTCTATAATGTGATGTACAAGGGTTGTTGCCATGAGTGTAAAGCTTTGCATGCTATGCATATTATAGCCAATATACCAAATCAGTTGACTTGATGTCAGTTGTAATATCTGTTCATGAAATATTACTGCGACATGTTGCTGGTCAACTATTGACTTATTATAGAAAGCCAACAATTTTGACATTAGTTGACCTCCCATAGTACGCTGACACACCATGATATGACTGGAGTACTGTTCAAAGCCGTGTTAAACCAAACTCACTATCAAAAGTCACATATTGTGTGAACACTTACAGTCCCCGAAATCCAAGTTTAGGATCAGTGTTAAAAAAGGTTTGAGATGCCTGGTACTTATAAGCTGACTTGCATGGGGACCAGAAGTCCAAGTGCATGTCATGGTGCCTCATTGTGGATCATGGCTGATTGCCTGTCATGGTGCCTCGATGGCGTGGATCATGGCTGACTGCCTGTCATGGTGCCTCATTGTGGATCATGGCTGATTGCCTGTCATGGTGCCTCGATGGCGTGGATCACGGCTGACTGCCTGTCATGGTGCCTCATTGTGGATCATGGCTGATTGCCTGTCATGGTGCCTCGATGGCGTGGATCAAGGCTGATTGCCTGTCATGGTGCCTCGATGGCGTGGATCACGGCTGATTGCCTGTCATTGTCCCTCGATGGCGTGGATCATGGCTGATTGCGTGTCATGGTGTCCCGATGGCGTGGATCACGGCTGATTGCCTATCATGGTCCCTCGATGGCGTGGATCACGGCTGATTGCCTGTCATGGTGCCTCGATGGTGTGGATCACGGCTGATGGCCTGTCATGGTGCCTCGATGGCGTGGATCATGGCTGATTGTCTGTCATGGTGCCTCAATGGCGTGGATCATGGCTGATTGCATCTCATGGTACCTCGATGGCATGGATCACGGCTGATTGCCTGTCATGGTCCCTCGATGGCGTGGATCATGGCTGATTGCATGTCATGGTGCCTTGATGGCGTGGATCATGGCTGACTGCCTGTCATGTTTCCTCGATGGCATGGATCAAGGCTGATTGCCTGTCATGGTCCCTCAATGGCGTGGATCATGGCTGATTGCCTGTCATGGTCCCTCGATGGCGTGGATCATGGCTGATTGCATGTCATGGTGCCTTGATGGCGTGGATCATGGCTGACTGCCTGTCATGTTTCCTCGATGGCATGGATCAAGGCTGATTGCCTGTCATGGTCCCTCAATGGCGTGGATCATGGCTGATTGCCAGTCATGGTCCCTCGATGACGTGGATCACGGCTGATTGCCTATCATGGTGCCTCTATGGCGTGGATCATGGCTGATTGTGTGTCATGGTGCCTCAATGGCGTGGATCACGGCTGATTGCCTGTCATGGTGCCTCGATGGCATGGATCACGGCTGATGGCCTGTCATGGTGCCTCGATGGCGTGGATCACGGCTGATTGTGTGTCATGGTGCCTCAATGGCGTGGATCATGGCTGATTGCATCTCATGGTGCCTTGATGGCGTGGATGACGGCTGATTGCCTGTCATGGTCCCTCGATCTCGTGGATCACGGCTGATTGCCTGTCATGGTGCCTCGATGGCGTGGATCATGGCTGATTGCCTGTCATGGTGCCTCGATAGCGTGGATCATGGTTGATTGTATGTCATGGTGCCTCAATGGCGTGGATCATGGCTGATTGTGTGTCATGGTGCCTCAATGGTGTGGATCATGGCTGATTGTGTGTCATGGTGCCTCAATGGCGTGGATCACGGCTGATTGCATCTCATGGTCCCTCGATGGTGTGGATCATGGCTGATTGCCTGTCATGGTCCCTCGATGGCGTGGATCATGGCTGATTGCCTGTCATGGTCCCTCGATGGCGTGGATCACGGCTGATTGTGTGTCATGGTGCCTCGATGGCGTGGATCACGGCTGATTAGCTGTCATAGTCCCTCCATGGCGTGGATCACGGCTGATTGGCTGTCATGGTGCCTCGATGGCGTGGATCATGGCAGATTGCCTGTCATGTTTCCTCGATGGCGTGGATCACGGCTGATTGTCTGTCATGGTGCCTCGATGGCGTGGATCACGGCTGATTGCCTGTCATGGTGCCTCAATGGCGTGGATCATGGCTGATTGCCTGTCATGGTGCCTTGATGATGGCTCATGCTTTTAGTCACAGGCTTGCCTCGCCCACTTTATTTGCAGGCTGACATGACAGGCGTAGATGGAAGCTTGTTGACTGGCATAAAACAACTTTCACTCACCACAATACAGGCTTGGAGCTGAAAGCTTGTTTACTCAGCTTAATTTTCATTTGTTGGAATTGACAAGCCTTTGCTCCTTTTGTTTGTTGGTAAGTTTCACTTCAAGCATGTCTGCCTGTGTCATATGCTGTATATAACAGACACACACTTGCATTTTCACGCTCATCATATTTATTGTTTTCTTCACATAATGATTGTATACTCCTCTAACATCTCATTTTAATAGTGGTTGTTGCTTTCAATACAATTGTTTCCTTAACACAATGCCATTGTCATATGAAGTTCGGGATTATTTTTTGCAGGTGTATTCATGCTAATGATCTACTGAATGGATTCATAAGAAAAGCATGATTACATATTGAATTAATGTGTTTGTTGAGACAAATGATCAAGTTTTGATATATGTCGCCAAATTAAATTTACCAGTCATTGTCACCAAAGCAGAAACCACGATTATGGGAGGACAGTGCGTTCCCAGCATGCATTTCACCCAGCACAAATCCTGCTTCATGTATTGTAGCATGGATTATTATGTAGAACTTTCTGCAAAGACACATTAGTGGTCATGAGATGTTGTTTTCTTGAAATGTTATTAAATATTTATTTTAGCTCTTTAAGTTTAATAATATGCTGCATGCTCTCCTGGCTTGTGTATATTGTGTACCTATATCGGTGCCCTGGCACCACTGTTCAGAAACACTTAGAGGATGTGTTTAGGATTTGTGTAACGGATGTGATATCAGTTGTGCTGAAATCTTCCAGTATCATCACAAGTTGAGGAAAAAGTTGAGGAACAAGTTGAAGAAAATACTGAGGTTGCCGTGGAAACAGCTGAAGATGGTAAAACACTTGTACTTAGCTCATCACTAATTAATAATGTTTGGCAAGACTCATGGACTAACAATTAACTGCACTGAATAAACCCTTTGGTCTTTGCAGTGTTGCAGAACTAATGTCTATATCTTTAGTTAGGGGCACTGAGGTAGCCTAGTGGTTAAAGTGGTTGCTTCTCACGAATGTGGTTCTGGTTTGATTCCTCACATGGATACAATGTGTGAAGCCCACTTCTGGTGTCCACTGCCGTGATTTGCCCGGAAGGTTGCTTCAAGTTAGAATCATACTCACTCACTCATTCTGTAGACTGAAGTCTTCTCTCGTTATGATACACTGGACAAAGGTAGAACCCTGCCACCATATTTTACTCACCCACTATATAGACTGAAGTCTTCTCTCGTTATGATACACTGGACAAAGGTAGAACCCTGTCACCATATTTTACTCACTCACTTACTCACTCTATAGACTAAAACCTTCTCGTTGTGATACATCTGACAAAGGTAGAACCTTGTCACCATATTTTACTCACTCACTCACTCTATAGACTAAAACCTTCTCGTTGTGATACATCTGACAAAGGTAGAACCTTGTCACCATATTTTACTCACTCACTCACTCTATAGACTAAAACCTTCTCGTTGTGATACATCTGACAAAGGTAGAACCTTACCACCATATCTTACTCACTCATTCATAACAGACTGAAGCTTTTCATCTCTTCCCAACGTCTTGCATATACTCTTGAGTCTTCAGACCATCCTTTTATTGTGCATGTTATATTTATACCTGTTTTATTGTACTTGGTAGTCTGCTAGTTGACTTGTAGAAAATGTATGACGACACCTTTGTTATGTTGGGAAGACATGTTACTAAGCAACCAATTGGGTGGGTACTGAATAGGACCCGGGTACACACAGGACTTCCCGGACCCGTGGTTAGTCACGTGATATATTGTTTAATGACAAAAAGTATCTAAAACTCTGTTTAAACTACAAGTCACTAATGTTCGCTTTTCTTCCTGACTACTATGCCCATTCCTTCTGACTTTTATATGTCTGAATAAAAAAACAACTTAGGCAACTTCAGTGTATACACCAGATCGTTTCATACCTGTATCTAAATACATTTTACCAGAGCTACGGTGAAACTTTTCCCAATTGGACAGTTTGTACCTACCTCTTCATACCTACACCGGGTACCCGGGTAGGGTCGGGTACAAGGGGGGTGGGTACCCGGATAGTAAATTTGGACTCGTCCCACCCCTTCAAAGTAGCGTAAAACCCAACTCCCTCACTCACTCACCCATTCCAATGTTTCCTCCCACAAAAGCTATTTAGCTACAAGACTAGCTCAGGTCCTACCCTGGCTCCCCGTCCGGTAATGAAATAAGTTGATATGTTAGATTAAAAAGGTGTGGTGTGAAATATTACACATTTAATTCGTTGACATATTCCATCATAGAGTATTGTATTGTGGCATGGCTTTAGGGGAGGTGGGGTTCAGGTGAATGAACATGTGATCACCCCTTGGCCCAGTATCAGGCAGTTCATCTCTGCAATTAGACTAGTATGGTGTGTAGGATTAGGGGCACAGGTATTTCCTCCATTCCTTGGCATAGCACAGTGGCTGCCATTTGTCAGCTGGGACCCAGGAATGCTCGAGCCCGACTGTGTAAAATGCTTGTCCAGGCCTGGAGGACATACATGCGTTTGTCATGAGACTATTAAGGCTGTGCAGAGAATCAGAACAATGATTGATATTTAGTTTATTCAAAAAATGTTAGACAAATATCTAGTCTCTGAAATGAGCATATTTTACAAAAAAAACAAAAAAAACAGTTAAATTATCTTAATATGATATAGTAAAATGGAGCCAAGAGACAATTTTCATTTTCAGAAACTGCAATAATCTAGACTTTCTTAAGCTCCAGGTTTTGAACTACTAGTGACAGTTAATGTGTACCTATAAGCATAAAAAGTTGTCTTCCTTGAGGGGTTCGAGGAGCGGGTCCTAAAGTTTTGTTTTATGATGGTGATCATGTATCTCTCCGTGTCTGGGGGCACTTTCATGTTGACTGATGCATGGATAGGGTGGGATGGGTCTCATGATACCTGTCAATCCAGCTAAGCCAACACCCATGGCTCTTATATCATGATTAGATATGGCTAGCTAGTAAATCAAATTAGACATACATTGTTGCCAACTATCCGTGAAGTTATGTGGAGTAATGTCAAGAAATATCATTTAATTTGCAGAATTTTACCCTTTGAATGAAATAATGTTTGTGAAACACTATGATTTATTAATTATTCACATGTGCTTTATTAAATATTCTGAAAACACCTGTTCACTGTCATTGTCTGGTTAATCAACGTTTCTGTTGGTGCCACACTCGCTGACGACGGGCAGCTGTCTGATGTGAACAAGAACATACTTTGGACTGGTGCAGAATAAGATGGCATTTTGATCAATTGATATCATCCAGATAATGCTATGTAAAACATTTATGTTTTATTTATACTTTACATTATATTTGTGGAAAGAAGGGAGAGTTTAGAATGATCTGCTTTGATTGTCTATGTTGTAATCCATTCGCAGGGGAAAGCATTTTTATGAATGGGTATGGAGATTACATTTGTACAATGTCTTGTTTGTTTCTGTGGCATATTGAACTGAAGGCAAGTCCATGTTTGTTGCCTGGGTGGTACATTGTTAGGACGACCAAGTCACTTGAGACAAGCATGATTGTGGTGTATAAACAAGTTATAGCATGACCTGGCACTTGTCATGAACATCCAGTGATATATAGGGTGGGGAATACGTTGTTATCTGCCGTTCTATATTGCACCACATTCCAGCTACTGCGATAAGACTTTTTTTTCTGAACATGACATACAAGTCAGAAATGCATTTGCATTATGTTTATGTAGGCAGTCAATTACCATATTGTCCATGTACATGTTGCCCTACACTAATTATATCAAATAGATTGAATAAATTAGGTCACATTCAGTGCTTGGTGTGTTTGCAATCTGGAACAAGGAGGACACTCTTTTCATCTATAATCTTCAGATGAATTCTATCCAAACATTAATCGCTGAGTGACATCCCCCAAAAATATATGATGGATTGGACAGTTCCCATTAAATATGTTAAGGCTGCCATTTTGTTACATACATAGAATGATATATGAAATATATCACATACCTTTGAATAGCAGGTAATATTACAAATACTGCAATGTAAAAGATCATATAGTGTCATATATTTTGTAGTTCTGAGTATATATTCCAACCATTCTTCTGGTGTATAAATCCTGTTATAAGGTAATAAGGTGTGTGTCCAGTGTTCAATACAGTGTATGTGTTAACTGTGTGCCTCGGGCATGTTTGTTGTTCCAAGCTTGTGGATGAGATAAAACAGGTATTGTTCTCAATCTCGTAATCTTCAGAAATTGCGTCCTATGCATCACTGGATCCAGGTGCTAGGTGATGTTCTAATGAGATTGTATTGTTTGTTTGTTGTATAATGCCCCACTCAGCAGTATTTCAGCTTTTTGACAGCAGTCTAAATAGTTGAGTCTGGACCAAACAATCCAGTGGTTGACATCATGATCATTAATCTGTACATTTGCTGTAGGATGACATGCATCATCAAAGTCAAAGGGCCTGACCACCCGATCCCGTTGGTCACCTCTTACAGCAAGCATGGGTTGCTGGAGACCAATTCTAACCCGGATCTTCACAGATTGGTTCATACATCTGAATGTGATTATTGATCTTTTCTTGTCCTGTCATTGTGGATTGATAAAGGTGGCCTTGCTTCAGATTGTGACATTAAGCTGTTAATCAGCTTGCATTCATAGTTCTCCATGTGTTGTCTCCATGCACCAAAACAACCTTTCAGGGGGTAGTTTGGGACGCACTGGATAGGGTGTTTGATATGGGAGGAGGGGCAGTGGGGTAGCCTAGTGGTTAAAGCGTTTGCTCATCATGCCAAAGACCCGGGTTACCTCATGGGTACAATGTGTGAAGCCCATATCTGTTGTCCCCAGCTGTGATACTGCTGAAATATTGCTAAAACCGGCATAAAACAATACTCGCTCACTCACTCTTAAAGGGGGAAGGTAGAGTAGCTTGCAATGATAGATGGGTTCAAGTCCTACCATGGTACAAATCCTGGAGTCCTTTCTCAGTAAAAGACTTCCACGTAACTTTCATCTACCGCTACATTGTTGTTGACATGTTTAATCTTGCCCCAAATTCCTAAAATGAGAAAAAAAACCTTTCTGGATTGGCTGGGAATATGGAGACAGTACTGAGAGGTGTGTATATGTCTTGTTATTCACCGTGGGACCAGGATGTATATTTTTATATGGCACAGGATTATACTTCTGCTAGGCAATACGACTAGGTCGCTATGAACTGTGATAGGTAGATCTGGATGGTGGATCACATGGTGGATCACATGGTGGATCACATGCAGCAGCTGAATGTTTTGTTTGTTACTTTTGAGAAATGAAAGTGTTTTTATCACCCGAGAAGAAATTGAGCTGGTTGTTGAATCAGTGTTGATTATCAATGTTTTTTGAGAATGTATGTGAGTAATGAGAAAAGAATATCTTGTTAAAAACCTGCACACTATTGAGGAAATTTGGGATTTTGTAAAATGTAGTTAACACGTACTGCAAGTGAAAGGTGAAATATGTCTACCCAAGGTACAAAAAATTGGATGGGTCACCAAACTTCCTTTCACTTCGCTGAATTTGTTCCTTAACTGTGTTTGTTGAACTAGTTCAGAAATAATTTCTCCAGGAAGTATGCTTAGAAAAGTGAAATACCATGTGTAGTAACCATGTTTTAAGATGACATGGCCCATTTAGGCACATTCATACTGCATCCCAGTGGAAGCACGGTGATATTGATTGTACTGTACTGTCATTATAGTAATTATCAACTCTTACAGTACAGTTCCCTACACCTTTTCATTAATTTACAGGACTCTCATTTTTCCTGTAAGGACCCTTGAAATAAATTATTAGGGGTCCTGGATCAGTCATCCATGCACCCTTGCTTTAGGCAAGTCTACAAACATCAGTGCAAGTGTCGATAAACCTGAAAAAATGGTCCCCTTCATACAATGTTATACTCTTATGTAACTGTACCGAGCATATTTTTAATGCTCTTCTGAAGCATCTGCTTTGAATGCTAATGTTTTGATGTTTTTTAAATGTTTCTTTCATCTCCAGTTAATGTCGTAGTTTGTGCGCTCAAAGAGACTCACAGTAGTGATTTCCTGTGGCAAAGAGAATTGATCTGTGCTGTTGCCAGCTTGATGTATGTCCCAGTGTGCTGATGATTTTCAGAAGTAATTTAATTTGTCGTGAAATATAAACAACGGTAACCAGGACATGAAAACTCAACCTTCACATTGTTTGTGCAATCTATTAATAGTGCTGATCAGGTGCTTGTGACAGGACCTGGCGTTTTTACAAGTATCATTGCATTCCTGGTGTGCCTGGCACTTTATCTAGTCATCAACACCGTGGCAGGCTAGCAGACATGTTATTTCCCCCTTTGTCATCTTTATATAGACTTCAGGCACACAATCAACCAGACCCCTAAGCTTCCTCGTCATCCCACTGCTATTTATCTGGAGAGCAAGACACAGAATGTGTAGGTTGGCTGGGAGAAGGAACTCTTGGATTCCCTAACAACATTTATGAGTAGTGTGGCAGATAGTGTCCTCGGATTGGTCTACTTCCTGTTGATAGTCCATCCTCATTGGCTGACCCCGTCAGGGGTGCGAATGGTTGTTTCTTTGAAACAGTTACAATAGTAGATTCTATGCAACAACTGATAAGCATAACAATATAGACAAAAAATACAAGTGTAAACAAACTCGTTTGAACTCGTATCAGTTTAAACGTGATAGGGTATTATGACATGTTTGTGGTACTGTATTCGGACGGTGGGCCTAAATTTGTACCTAAGGATATTGAGGGGATCTTCGTGAATACTCCCACAATTATAAAGTAAATACATTCTTGAGAAGTTTGTCCGTGCGTTTAGAATCACTACCTTGTGGCAATAGGTCAGGACATTCTGCAAGTTGCCAAGACATTATTACCTTCCGTGACATAATGATATTGACACCTGAGTGCCATATGGAATTGTTTAACGTCTAACAATCACAATTCCACCATCAGGATTTTGTAATGTAAAAACTAAACATCGGAATGATGTGAAAAAGTGAGTCATGGCTGCAGCACAATCAGCCCGTGATAGTACGTCATTTTCTCCGATAAGACGCACATTTGTATCTGTCTCTGACCCCATCCCTCTTCACAGCTGTCTCCTGTACGCGATGTGTTGGCGTGTGTTGCATCATCAGTTTCCGTGTAGATCCTCCAACATTGACAGAGGTGCACTTTAGGAATCTTATTGAATTGTGCTACTTGAGGAAATCAAGAGCTTGTCACAGTGTGGTCACAGGAGTCTCATGTCCACAGCCCTATTTAAACCTGGAAGAAAAGCCCCGTGACTTGCCTCATTGCCAGCACACAAATTCAGGGTCTCGGAGATGCATCCAGACAAACGTCACCCTCTCTGATTAAACATCAGTAAACGTGTCCGGGATGGGAATTTCTTTTTGTCCCTGCCAAGTCTAGGATTGGTCGGACTAGGCAGTGTTGCTTTTTGTGATTAATATAAAATGGGGAGGGGATTTTGCAGGTCAGTTAAGTTTTCAACTTCAGGAGGATAGCTTGTCTTGACTTTGTGGTTACTGCCTGGTTGAACATACAATGACGATCACAGGGGAGAGTAAGTATTTAAGTACCTATACATGTACCTGTCCGTCTGGACAGCATTGTTGGCACATACTTGATGTGTTAACAATCAAAATCTTCATGCTTGGTCTATTATCTTCAAACCGTTCAACCTTCTTTCCTGGAATTTGTTCAGATTGACAGATTTACAGTGATTTCATTCATGTAAAACAATAACAGTGTATTAGTGACCGATATGAGAGCTTGTACTTGACGTAAATATGCGATATCCAGCACTAAAATTTGTTAGTGAGGTGGACCGGGATGAAAATCTATTAATTTAGTTATAAATTTGCCAAAATAATGAGCAGTAACAGGCATTTTGTCCATGTTAGTATGTACATACATGAAAGAAATGTGAAGAAACACAGTCATATGAAACAGTTCGCACCTATGTTGATTGTAGTTATGGCAGAGTGAATAAATGCACCCCAACTTGAACCAGCACAATATGCAATCATATTTGCTTAAGGACAAGCATGATCAATGACCGTATCAGTCTTGTAGACTCAGTTTACTGAGTCGGTAGTCATACTACTGATCTGCACGTAGTTTGAAATTATGACAAACAAATTATTTTTCTTTACGGTAATAGATAATGTTTGTGTATATACTAATCAACATTTGGTATTAATATTGATATATGGAAGATGGTTGGGGCCAATAATTTAAAAATATAGTCAATCAAGTTCCATTTGCTGAATTATAGAAAAATCCCCATCAAGAGTTGAGGACTTGCTTCTTGGTGTACTGGGCATGTTTGTATGCTATGCTTATGCCTGATTTAGTCCCATGTGATAATGACATGTATAACTGATTTAGTCTCATGCAATAATGACATGTTATAACTGATTTAGTCCCATGCGATAATGACATGTTATAACTGGTTTAGTCCCATGTGATAAGGACATGTAATAACTGATTTAGTCTCATGCGATAATGACATGTTATAACTGGTTTAGTCCCATGTGATAATGACATGTTATAACTGGTTTAGTCCCATGTGATAAGGACATGTTATAACTGGTTTAGTCCCATGTGATAATGACATGTTATAACTGGTTTAGTCCCATGTGATAAGGACATGTAACATGTGTAATAACTGATGAATTTCTGTGCTCTAGCTGTTCACTGCCACTTTGTTTCAGGAGTCATGTTTATATGTTGTGTATTTGGATTAATGATAACATACTTATGTTTCAGAAATTAGTATGCTAATTGTTATGGTATTTATAACTTTGTTTTCACGTTTCTTTTAGAATATGACAATATTATTATTGTGGTTCAACATTTTCTTCCAAGGAATTAAATCTTGTTTAGATTATTGTGTGTTGACCAATGGCATTTTATCTTACAGCTGCTGCAAGTACTGTGAACGGACAGTCGGCTACATCAACAGTTAGTATGCCAACATTTCTCTCATGAATATCAAGGGTCTAAGAGGCTCCAATTCTGTGCTGAGTTGCATCCCTTGGGTGTGTCAGGATTTGCTCTTTGTGGGATTGTTAGATCTGTCACACTGATTATGGTCCTCTGACTGTTGTGATATTTTAACCTGTCCTTGATGTATTGCCATGGGCTAGAGACAATTGTGATGTATTGATACATCACTCCATCATTCCACCGCTAGGAAACACCCAACCCTGTGATGAAATCACCTACCAGGGTCGTAGCCAGGATTTTAAAACATGGGGGTGGGTGGGGGTCCACTCATTAATAATTCTACTTTAACAACCAAATCAACTTACCATGGTAAGAACCCTCCTTCTGGATCGCCACTGCCTACCTAATGTTGGAGTTTGGGAATTCATCCCACGTCAAGTTGAACCCATTGTGATAAAAAAGAACTACCGGTAATCCTCAATGAAGTGTTAAATCAACTCTTATTTTGACTGTTCCATGTTGTTAGTTTGGTTATGAAAGTTCTATAATTTCTGCTTATCCTAGAGTAAAAGAAATGAAATCTGTTCCTTGATCGCGACATTTGTCTGTTAAAATAATACTGATGTACAATGCAATGCCTTATTACCATATTAATTAAGCCCCTTTATTAGGTATGTGTTGGATTACAGTGTTTCTTTACTTGTTCTCTTTCATCGTCTTTTATTTAATCAACATGGTTGATAAACTTACTTCTTTTACTGACAATTTTGGGGTTAATTTGGGCTGATAATTAGTCCCTTCCAGTGCACTATCTGTGGCAATGTTAACTGCCCTCACCCTCAGACAGACAGACCCTCTGCTGACTGTAGATATTTGCACTTACTGGTTGGTCTCCACAATTGTTGGACAGGCCGGTCATTGCTCCACATGACCAGGGCTCAATTCTGTCAGCCTGTCGGCCTACATGGGCAGGAAGTACAAGCATTGATGTACGTCAGTCAACAGAGATGTCATTGATGATGACATCAGTTTATGCCACATTGCAATATGTTTACTTGTCCAACTATTGTCTTCCTTGATAGTTTGATTGATAAGCTACAAAACTCTTTTTTTCTGTATTGGTTCTTGTGGCAATGTATTTTGATAGAATAGAGATTAGATGTTAATCTTGTTTGGGTAAATGAAACCTTTATGTATGTGTGGTTCTTGAGTGAACAATTCAGTTTTGTAAATGAATGGGTCTGTTATTAAATCATAAACAATTTGTGGAAGGAAGTGAACTTCGTATATTCATTTAGGCAGTCAAATATCATCCCTCTCATTCCTGGTCATAGGGCTTCAGCAATCCATGCTTGCAGTAAAAGGCGACTGCTTTTCTGACTTGGTTGATGCAAGTCATTGTATCCCAATTGAGTGAATCGCTGCTTGGGATATCAATCACTGGATTGTCTGGCAAGGCAACAAGATTGGGTGGTCAGGTTTTGTGAATTTAATGATTGCGTGTCACCATCATACTCCCTCAGGAGCTCCCCTCTGTAGTCTAGTGGACGGAGCGTCTACCTGGGGAGAGGAAGGTCTAGGGTTTGATCCCCGCCACAGCATCCCAATAGATGTTAAAAGTGGTACTTGTTGTTACCCTGCCTTGTAATTGGCATTAACTGTGTTTCATCTAGGATTGGTCAGCTAGGAGTTAGTATACTGTGTTGAGTGGGGGTTTATTTGATTGGGTCTTATACCCTGACAGTGTGGGTCGTTGCTCATAATAGTCACTGGTTTGATTGACAGGCAACTGTTGTATAACTTGCATATTGCCTAGTTTGGCATAAGAAATAAACAAACTGTACTTCATGATTCATCCCTCTGTTCAGGTTGAAGCAGTGTCGACATACAGCCCGCCGGAACCGGAACCAGAACCAGAACCAACCCTTGCTCCTGTCACTCAGCCAGAGCCCACACCAGAGCCCACACCAGAGCCCCCAAAACAAGCAAACGGAACTGGCGATATCTTCGGCCTCAGTGCCAAGGAGATGAAAGAGAGGCTGAAGTCCCGAAGAAGGGTTGACCCACGTACACAAGGTGTCGGTTTCGGGGAGAAGTACAAAGTGTTTGAGCGTCTGTGAACATCTTCTCATCCCCTAATTGTCCAATCAGAACTAGCATAACCAGTTGGAACACCTGTTTCAGTGAAGAGCTGCAAGCAGCTAGCAACATGAGACTTTTCTAATAATGGAGACATGATACAGATTTTGCTCGAATTTTCTTTTTGAATTTGTTGCGAATTTGTGGATATGGTTTGTGAAAATGCCTATTCACTTTTGGGTCACCTTTCCAGCCAGATTCATAATGGACCAAGTTTATTTGACTTTACACCTACACATATATATTATAAATATATATATATCTATACATATATTGGTTACATATTACATTATGTAGAAAGCTTTGTAGATATCCTCAAAGCAAATAAGAGAACTCATGTTTTACTTTTGTTGAAGCTTGAGTGACAAGGATGATTTTATACACTTATGCATTCCATGTTCATTGGCTAGTGTACAGAGACTTTGAAGACTAGGGGTAGTATATCAGAAGCTGCATTGAGAGGAAATAGAATGATTTGACTAATTCTGCTAACTCAGTCCACAGTGTGATAATGTACAGAGTTTTACAGGTGTAGATTGTCGCCCATGTCCACTCTGGGTGGCTCAGACATGTCTTTCTGACTGCTCACTTGTATAATTATTCCAGGAACAATTGTATACACATATATTTTGTTAAGAATAAATTCATTTCAAAAACATTGTCTTGTGCTTTTTTACCATCTTGTGGGCATATTGATGAAGGTTTTGACCACATAGTCCAGTACCTCCCTGGCAAGTTACATTTCTTGTTATACTGAATTGAACAACAAAAGAGTCCTGGAAGAAAATTGGTCTTGGCATACAGACAGATAATATATTCAGTGACAGGCCACTTGATCATAAACTACACTAAAAAAGTTAAAGAACACCTTATGTCTCGTATATCTATAGTTGCTCTTTCATGCCATGAACTACTGTATGGGTTTCTTTAGCGTCTTCTAAGTAGTAGACATTTATATAGCGTGATAGGTCATGCATGCTGGAGTATGGACCAGATTATTACCTGTTTGCATTGCCATTGTGAATTCATCAGAGATGGAGAGAAGAAAAATGGGATTTGTCTTGATATTGGGAACTGGGGTAGCCTAGTGGTTAAAGCCTTTGCTCTTAACACGGTCTACCTGGGTCTATTCCCACCGGGTTATACTTCGTGAAACCCATTGGTGTCTTAAGTTGTGATATTGCTGGAGGATTTTGCTCACATGGTGTTATACTCTTTCTTCCTTGATTAGAAACGTAATGTACTGATATATATATACCAGGGTAGAGGCTGACTGAAGTTGAAATGGCTGACAAGGGATGATGGAATATTATGAAAGAAACTAACTGCATGTGAAACAGGATTTTGTTTGTTTATTGTTTAACGCCACACTCAGCAATATTCCAGCTACATGACGGCGATTGACATCATGAGCATCAATACAATGACACAATGGGATACAATGACACAATGACATGCATCAACCAAGTCAACAACCGTTAGTGGCCTCTTAGGACAAGCATAGTCGCCTTTTATGCCAAGCATGGGTTGCTGAAGACCTATTCTACCCTGGATCTTCACCACCAGGTGATGAGCAGGAATTGTAATGACATAGGTGATCTTGATGAGGAAATGTAACAGCAATTGAAACCATGACCAAGATCGCCCCCAAAGTAGTCCCACAAACATTCGCAGAGGAGACCCACAACAACGGATTAATCGCTACATCAACAAAATGCTCCATCCAGAGGGTCTGGGCAGCACAAGAAATAGTTTAATAAGACTGCAGAGAAATGTTTATGACTTTGAGAGCCCACATTAGGTGTTCTGAGCATGCTGATATATGACAAATGGGCCAGTACCAGGCGTGTGAATTGGTGCATAGCTCACATTATGCAGCTCAGCATACTCCAAGCTGGCGTTGTTCCGCGCCAGTAGCTTTGAGACGAAGCGGTTGCTTAAACCGTAGTACATGTAAATAACGCCCCTACAGGGGTAATGGTCCTGGGTACATGTAAATAGCGCCCCTACAGGGGTAATTGTTCTGGGGTTGATGATTGTAGGGATTGAGGAGTCGAACTTGTCCCCAATAGGCCATTCCTGAAAGGGGGCGTGGAGTTTCTAGACATTGTAATGACATTGTGTGTAATTAACTGCAACATTGGCAGACAATGTAATTTGAAATAACAGACCAAACCAACTGAATAAAGTGTCAATTAACCGAGTCTATAGCCCTCGCCAATAAAAATAGAATCACGAAATATCATGATGATTAATTATGGAGACTGCTGTACTTGTACTAATACTTAAAAAGTGAAAGCAAGCTATCCCCGCGATAAGGAATATAGCTTTAAAGTAATATAGGAAAATAAAGAAAATGCGCTTTTTAAGAAATATCTATTTTGCTAATGTTTCTTTTGTTTAACACCGCACTCAGCAATATTCCAGCTATGTGTCGAGTCTGGGCCAGACAGTCCAGTGATTGTCACCATGAGCATCGATCCACGCAATTGGGAGACGATGACATGCATCAACCAAGTCAGCGAGCCTGACCACCCGATCCCGTTAGTCTCCTCTAAAGACATGCATAGTCGCCTTTTACGGCAAGCATGAGTTGCTGAAGACCTATTCTACCCCGGATCTTCATGGGTCGAATGAAGATTGCTGTACTTATGCTTATTGCTGTGCTAAAACTTACAAGTGAAAGCAAGCCATTCTGGCGATGACTCTATAGTAGGAAAAAAATACAAAGTTAGCTTTTTAAGAAATAATCATTTTTCTAGCGATAAACATCATTGAGTGTTGATGATAATATCACTGATTTTATCTTTGGGTACCCCGGATATAGCGCGCACTCTCTATCTTTCTCCATCGCGCTTACATTTCTTTGAAAGGGACAGCTTCCCCCATGAAATAAAACCCTAGATTCACCTCTGTCTCAAGAAATGATAATTTAGTAGAACGCCGGGGGCGTTAATGACGTGAATTACGGTATATGCTTATCACAGCCGCGACACACCGACTCCATCCATCGATCAATGTGACCATTGGACCGTGACGTAATACTGCGTTTCATTGTCACACGCCCAGTCTACCTGGCAAGGTACAGCAGGAAAACAGTTTATGTTTATCCTCTGGGGATCAGTTACTTTGAGGCTGACTATGACCAATGTAAGTTCGGTAGTCTGATTTATAAGGAGAAATTCGTGTCACAGTATGAATAAATCTTCAATAACGAACGAGTCATAGTCACGCGTTCAAGATCGATCCCACGCATAGTGCCCCTACCCCATTTGATAAGGTTAGTGACCCCAACCCGAAGACATTCCGTGCTGCAGTCGTGTGATGCAATGCAAAATCCTAATTGCCAACTCTTACTTGCTTCTAAGATTCATCTCATGGTCAAAAGAAGAAATACTCTTTTATGATTTATGTAGTTAACGTAATTTCTGTAATGTTTGTATGTATGTATGTATGTATGTATGTATGTATGTATGTATGTATGTGTGTATGGTCTGTGTGTCTGTGTGTATGCGTGCATGTATGTGTGTGTATGTATGTGTGTGTATGCGTTCGACTGAATGCATGTTTGTGCGAGAATCTATGTTGTTGATAGACCTGTATGATTGTTCTCATACAGGTTTTGGTATAATTCATGTTATGGCCGGGTGCTTTTTATAATTCTATGTATGTACATTTTGTATTTTATCATATAATATGCACGTGACACCCCCCCCCCCCCCCCCCCCCCCCCCCCCCCCCTTTGTGAAGAGGGCCGTGGCCGAGTCCTAATCGACACTGATCATACATGGACAACCTGACAGTCGGTATGCTGTGTCTGAGTGGGGTAAACATGGACAACCTGACAGTCGGTATGCTGTGTCTGAGTGTCTGAGTGGGGTATACATGGACAACCTGACAGTCGGTATGCTGTGTCTGAGTGTCTGAGTGGGGTATTCGCGTTACAACTGAGGCGGCACGGTATCTCAGCGGGTCAGCACTATAAAACCGGAATTCGTCCGGACTAGTAAAAGCACACACACACGCGCGCGCACACACACACACACGCCCGCTCATCGCTATACAAATGTATTAACCTAAAACCCCATTTCACCTCAACTCTTCTACCACGTTAAACGATGCTTTCGAATAATTGTACATGTATCCAGTTCTGAGAAAGACTGTTTTTAAGATAAACTGAAACAACCCCCCATTCAAGGCCGTATCTCAAGCACTCAAGCGTTGGGAGGTTTAAGTTTTGAATAGTACCTCGGTCACGTCAAGTGATTGAAATCAAGACGACATTGCTACCGCCGTGTTTCCAATATACGGCATAAAACAAGATACTGGCAGTGTATACTGCATGTTTTAACCAACTAAGGTCGATTGCTAATTAAACTCATGGCTTCCATTTGTCCATTGCTAATCACCAACCAGCATTAATTAACTGTTGGCTTCTCTTGTTAAAGTTCAACCTTTGTTATCTGATTACTCTTGTTGGGGCGGTCGGGTAGCCTAGTGGTTGAAGCGTTCGCTCGTAAAGCCGACGATGTGGGTTCGATTCCCGACATGGGTACAATGTGTGAAGCCCATTTCTGGTGTCCCCCGCCGTGATATTGCGGGAATATTGCTAAAAGCGGCGTAAAACCATACTCACTCACTATTCCTCTTGTTGTACTTAAATGTATATACATATATATATACGCTCTCTGCATCCTAGCATTTATACACCCGATGCAGGAGTAAGCATATACTCCGAAGCTTTGTGTTCCTAATAAAGAAGTTGACATCCAAACATACCCTCTCTTATGTGTATCAGCCTACATGTCATTCAAAGACTTAACTAAGGTCTGATTCTTTTGAATCCGTGAAGATCCGGGGTAGAATAGGTCTTCAGCAACTCATGCTTTTCGTAAAAGGTGACTATGCTTGTCGTAAGAGGCCACTAACGGGATCGGGTGGTCAGGCTCGCTGACTTGGTTGATACATGTCATCGTATCCCAATCGCGTGGATCGATGCTCATGATCTCAGTCACTGGATTGTCTGTTCCAGACTCGATTATTTACAGACCGCCGTCATATAGCTGGAATATTGCTGAGTGCGGCGTTAAACAACACGCAAACAAACAAACAAATCGGATCCCTTTGAATGGTACCTCTGTATTGCCTGTGAAGGAATTGGATCTCCAAGTCTATCACCGCCGTCTTAACACGGACAGCTATATACCTGATATTTCCTACCCTACTTGACCTGGAATTCCTGAAAGTCAAAGAAGTGTTGTGCAAACACGGCATAATCCGCTCAAGTCATACATTACCATATAAGCCAGAGCACACGGCTGTGTCAACATTGATGGACGAATTGATAGGCCGAGCTCAGTGCGTGACGGGTTGATCACAGAGTTATGACCGGGGGCTGAATTACGGACGCGGTAGACAAACACAGACCTACACCTATCATTGGATTAAAGATCGCTTGTGTTCCCCACAACCCAACACATCAGAACAGTGGAGCCGATGTTGCAGTACTCCTGTGCTGAACATGACGTTAACGTACACATTGGCCATGGCGTTAACGTACACATTGAACATGACGTTAACGTACACATTGACCATGGCGTTCACGTACACATTGACCATGGCGTTCACGTACACATTGACCATGGCGTTAACGTACACATTGACCATGGCGTTAACGTACACATTGACCATGACGTTAACGTACACATTGACCATGGCGTTAACGTACACATTCAACATGACGTTAACGTACACATTCAACATGACGTTAACGTACACATTGACCATGGCGTTAACGTACACATTGGCCATGGCGTTGGACATGAAGTGTAGGCTTCTGGGTAATGTGACCGCCTCAGTGGTGTAGTGGATAGAGCGCCTGTTCAGAGAGCGGAAGGTCAATGGTTTGATCCCTGGCCGCGTCATACCAAAATATGTTAAAAGATGAAACTTACCCTTTTTGAAGTTTACAATATTACTATTACTTAGATAACATTCACAATCCAACAGAGGTTTGACTGATAAATAGATTCTTGTCCAGTCAAGCGTTCGCTCGTCACACTAAACGTCCAGGTTCGATTCCCGGGGTTGGTACAATGTACGAAGCCCCTTTCTGGTGTCCCCCACGGTGACATTCCTGAAATATTGCTAAAAGCGGCGTAACATCATACTCACTCAAATAGCAACATTTTAAGTCGGATGTATAAACTATTATTTTTCTAATTCTGAAATTCGAATTAAGTACCACATCGCACGTGCATTGAAGTAAGTACCACATCGCACGTGCATTGAATTAAGTACCACATCGCCAGCACAGACTCTCAAGTACCACATCGCCAGTACAGACTCGCAAGTACCTTATCGCCATTACAGACTCGCAAGTACCTTATCGCGAGTACAGACTCGCAAGTACCTTATCGCGAGTACAGACTCGCAAGTACCACATCGCCAGTACAGACTCGCAAGTACCACATCGCCAGTACAGACTCGCAAGTACCACATCGCCAGTACAGACTCGCAAGTACCACATCGCCAGTACAGACTCGCAAGTACCTTATCGCCAGTACAGACTCGCAAGTACCTTATCGCCAGTACAGACTCGCAAGTACCACATCGCCAGTACAGACTCGCAAGTACCACATCGCCAGTACAGACTCGCAAGTACCTTATCGCCAGTACAGACTCGCAAGTACCTTATCGCCAGTACAGACTCGCAAGTACCTTATCGCCAGTACAGACTCGCAAGTACCACATCGCCAGTACAGACTCGCAAGTACCTTATCGCCAGTACAGACTCGCAAGTACCTTATCGCCAGTACAGACTCGCAAGTACCACATCGCCAGTACAGACTCTCAAGTACCTTATCGCCAGTACAGACTCGCAAGTACCACATCGCCAGTACAGACTCTCAAGTACCACATCGCCAGTACAGACTCGCAAGTACCACATCGCCAGCACAGACTCGCAAGTACCACATCGCCAGTACAGACTCTCAAGTACCACATCGCCAGTACAGACTCGCAAGTACCACATCGCCAGCACAGACTCGCAAGTACCACATCGCCAATACAGACTCTCAAGTACCTTATCGCCAGCACAGACTCGCAAGTACCACATCGCCAGTACAGACTCGCAAGTACCTTATCGCCAGTACAGACTCGCAAGTACCTTATCGCCAGCACAGACTCGCAAGTACCTTATCGCACGTAGATTGAAGTAAGTATAGCGACGTAAATACAAGAAATACGACGTCGCAAGTTCATAAACGCAAGAAAAACAAAGCAAGTACATCACTGTAGCTCCCAAGGTTTAAATACTCAGCGGGAGAATGCGGGACACAATGATATACCCCCAGTACCTCATGTGGGTAATGCTTGTCTCCGGGCGGGAATAGGCCCCCAGTACCTCACGGACATCTCCCTGTAGGTATTCCGGGTCAGAATAGGCCCCAGTAACTCTTGCTTGTGGTTTTGTTTGTTTGTTTGTTGTTTAACGCCACACTCAACAATATTCTAGCTATATGACGGCGGTCTGTAAATAATCGAGTCTGGACCAGACAATCCAGTGATTAATATCATGATCATCGATCCACGCAATTGGGATCGATGACATGCATCAACCAAGTCAGCGAGCCTGACCACCCGATCCCGTTAGTCTCTTGCTTGTGTCCATGTAGGTAATGCTTGTCTCCATGTTAGTATTCCGGGTCAGAATAGACCCAAGTACCTCATGTTTGTCTCCCCATGGAGATTCTGGGGCAGAATAGACCCCAGTACGTCATGCTTGTCTCCCCGTGGATATTCCGGGGCAAAATTGACCCCCAGTACCCCATGCTTGTCTCCCCGTGGAGATTCTGGGGCAGAATAGACCCCAGTACGTCATGCTTGTCTCCCCGTGGATATTCCGGGGCAGAATAGACCCCAGTACGTCATGCTTGTCTTCCCGTGGTGATTCTGGGGCAGAATAGGTCCCCAGATTCCCATAATTTTGTCACACAAAGAAAGAGTTTGCTTACTCAAAACACAATGTTTCATAACGACCAGCATGTTTAGTGAATATTTTTTTGTTATGTAGAACCCGAGGACACACATACACTTGTTGCCATGGCTACAGTACTCATATTGCATCTTTATCAAACAACCTGACCTTAATACATGTCTGTCACCGGGCCGACACAGGCTCCAACTATTTACGTACACCAATTTAGAACCGATAAATATTGGACAGTCACTTCAAAGTTCGTCTATCAAAGGATTTCCCACGATGAAATTAACTAATTCAAACACAATCCCAAGAATGTTCACAATAAAACACAAAAAACAAGAATTAGCATGCTTGAAAACCGGACACCCAACATTAATCTGGGTTGAAGTCTGTAAATTCCCACTGCAAACCTCGCGTTAATTACCCCTGGGCTTATAACGTTGACCCAGCGGCACATATTGTGGAGGTATGTTTATTCGGACTACTAGTCAAATATTGCTATATTGACATTCGCTCTCATTATACAGATTTTCCAGATTTACGTTGAAAGAAGACTTACTGGGCCCTGTTCATTGATATCGCTCCTCTCAACTCTGTGTAATTTCCACATTTCCAACACTTCACATCTAAGTACAAAGGTATTATTATAAAATGCCTAACGATTATGAGTTTCTCGAGTGCCGCAATTAAAAGAATATTTTTTACGCGTTGGTTCCTTTCGAAAGCTGATTATCTGACCACGGTCTCATTAGCGTGTATGGTGTTGAAGTGTGTGTTTTGCATCAATAACACTGTCATACACGATGAGAGACGGATAATATCTGACCATTATGATGGGGCGAGAGAGCCGTTATCTGAACTGATCAGCGTTAGGGTAACAAAGGAGTTGTTGCCATTTCTTTGCGTAAGGTAAATCGCCCGTCCATCAATCGCCAGCGTAACGATCGATTACGTCATAGCCAGGCGCCCGAGGTCATAGCAGCTTCCGGTTGCCTGGGTGTATTAATACAAAAATGCTAAACATGAGTTCTGCCTATTCAATGCGTCAGTACAGATATGAATGGGTCATATTGACACGTTCACTGTCTGGATGACATTTGAAAACAATACGTCACTTTATGGAGATGTTATACATCCTTTCCTCGCAGACAGAATAAATTTGGGATTCTCTAGAGGTCAAATAAAGTCTAGTATGACGCACTTCCGCTTGTGTCGTTTTCAAATGACGTCCATTTTGTCCATTCTACGAATCAAAGTTACATGGCACTGTGTATTTACACGTGACTTTTGTATAAGAAACGATAAATTAAAACCGTTAAAAGTGCGAATACAGATTTTGGGGAAAGGATCTTGCATTTTGTGGTCACCAATTAACATGCAATTACCAAATAGTTCCGAAACAAATGTGCACTTTGTAGCTGTGTTGTTGTAAACAACTTGTGTAAACTAACAGTGAGTTTGATATAATAGGAAAACATTCCCGACTATGTACTCGTGTCATGCCGGGACAAGCCGAATGGCCATTCGTCCCCACTCGCCCCTTTCCGTAACCTGTAAGAAGATCGCTATTCGGCTTGTCCCGGAATAGCACGAGTTGGTCACGAATGGCCTAATGGCAGGCAACGGAAAGAGGCGAGAAGTGACGGATGTGGTCAAAAGTCCATATTTAGTGTAGCCGATCATCTATAAAACTTGCAAATGGATAAATTAACCAACGAATGCTAACCGGTTGTTGGTAGCACGTGTAACCCCCAAGGCATTCAGATAACTACGACACACTCGAAAAACGGAAACATACTTGGACCCATTCGTCAGTACTCGCCCTTTTCCGGCCATGTCCCGGAATGTTTGTTTGTTTGTTTGTTGCTTAACGTCGTATTTAGTAATATTGTCCCTTCCTACCATTCCATGAAGAGTTGACTCTTCTGGCAGAGACAGAAGATGAAACCGACACTTTGTGGATGCTCAGTGAGGTCGACCTTCCCGACGTCTCCATGCAGCGCTGACTGCCCTTCTCTGCAGTGATGATGTTTCTTTCTTTGTTTAATGCCGCACCCAGCAATATTCCAGCTTTATGACGGCGGTCTGTAAATAATCGAGTCTGAACCAGACAATCCAGTGACTGACATCATGAGCATCGATCCACGCATTTGGATACGATGACATGCATCATCAAAGCCTGACCACCCGGTCCCGTTAGTCGCCTCTTACGGCGAGCATTGTCGCCTCTTACGTCAAGCATTGTCGCCTTTTACAGCATGGGTTGCTGAAGACGTGTCCCGGAATGACAGGAGTTGGTGACGAATGATTGTGACCATTCGATTCCCATTTTAGTCTGCTATTGAGACCATCGTGGGGTGCTGGTCGTCTGACGTGTACCCCCCCCCCCCCCCCCCCCCCCCCCCCCCACACACACACACACACACACACACCTCACCCCCCATCAGCGTCTAGGCCAGTAGACGTGAAGTGAGGTGGAATGAGTTTAATGTCTATTGCACTTATATAGCAACTTGTCTGCTTGTACTAGTCGGTACTAATCCCGATTTTATAGTGTTAGGCAATTGAGATACCTTGCCACAGTGTGACATGAATACCCGCCCAGACACAGTATACTGACCGAGCCGACCAGTCCTTGTTTTAATGCTGGGTTTCACTAAAGTGGTGAGCAGCTTCGACATGGAACTGACATTAAGCGGGGTTAAACACAAAACACTTACATGTTCTTGAGTATACCATTTACCGTGGCACGAGTTGCACTGAATACTTTTTTTCATGGAAACTCGTGCATGGTTGCAAACAGTAACATAGGCGTACTTTCTCACTCACTCACTCACTCACTTATTAAAACAAAGTTATGCACCAGTGATTAGAAGGGTAATAAGCTGACCCCTTCAGGAACATTGTAGACCAGCCCGTGTAGGATAACATAAAAGAGAATACGAGAGAGTTGAATATACTTATATACTTATTATATACAATGGCCAAATATAACATATCATGAGTATACCATTTACCGTGACACGAGTTGCACTGAATACTTTTTTCATGGAAACTGGTGCATGGTTGTACTTGCGCTGCGTCATATTTATAATATGTAAAGGTAAGAACGTAAGAACAAACATCATTTTTTCCTTATTGTATGCCGTTAATCTCCATTCACGTCATCAGATCTTCAGACTGAATAGACAAAATACCAGTAAAGATTATGAAATTCGGGAACTGCCGGGCACTTATTTAATCCAATACATACATTTATGAAACAATTTGTAGTTGTAGGTCGACTCGTACACACCTGCTCAGCAGACAAGTCTACCATTTTTATAGCAAGTTCAAAGTCTACCATTTTCATCGTGAGTTCAAAGTCTACCAGAGGGAGTTCTCTGAAATCTCACTGAAGAAAATGATTATTAAGTTTTATTGACAAAGTTCGCAAAAACCTCTAGCAACTCTGAACATTATCTTTTTTAGAAAATGGACAAGAGGCATGTGTAGCCACGTGGCTAGGCGAAATCCATTGGTTCTCTGGGTCGTGCGACGTTGAAGTTCTAAACACGTGCATATAAACAGTATTAATTTGCACAGCATCACACCCAGCTTTGTTTTTGAGTCAAGTCCCCGAGGCCTGCTCACTCGAGTGTTCGAAGCATTCGCTTTAGATCGGCCGTTGACTTAATGTAATAAAACTGACTATTCGGTTACGCCTCCCGGGGACTGGAGAGTGATTAGGGGGAGACAACTGTATCATCCATAAGTTATGACAGATGTACATAGCTTGAGGGGATATTGTTAGGCAGAGCTTGATGTACAGTAGGGAACATGGTTGACAGATGTGTGTTAAGCTCATTAAACAGATGGAATATCACAGATTTGTGAGTCAGTGGTCGATCTAGCACGTATTGCCCACTACAGTAAAGAAGTACCAGGTTGTATTTCCAGCCCAATTATGCCTTGCCTGAAATTTGGGTATGTGTTTATGTGAGTGAGTATCGTTTTCGCCGCTTTGAGAAATATTCCAGCAATATCACGGCGGGGACACCCGAAATGGGCTTCACACATTGTACCCATTTTGGGAATCGAACCTCGGCGTGACGAGCGAACACTTCAACCACTGGGCTACCCTACAACTTGTGTTATGTAATTAGGGTGAACGTTTACTGCAAGCTAGACTGACAGGTACAATCTGATTAGGAAGAGCAGTAAAACGGGGGCGCCCACATTCCTCTACAGTTCGTT